CGACGACGACGACGACGACGACGACTACGACTACGACTACTACTACTACTACTACTACTACGACGACGACTACGACTACGACTACTACTACTACTACTACTACTACTACTACTACTACTACTACTACTACTACAACTACTACTACTACTACAACTACTACTACTACCTACTACTACTACTACTACTACTACTACTACTACTACTACTACCGCTACAGATACAACTACGACGATGAGGAGAGGGAGGAGGACGTCGTTTACCGTTCCTACTAATGTTGCTTACCTAGAGGTTCCAACTCCTAGGTCGGGTCGCACTGGGATAATGAATAAATCGCATGGAAGTCACAAGCGAGAGCGCAATGACTGAATAAAATGAAAAGGGTTCTCTGGCGGGAGCGGGGCTCTTGGTTAAATTGCGAGGAAGTCGACTGAATTGCGAGGAAGTCTCAAGCGGGAGCGCCGTTCAGTCTCAGATGGAAGCGGTGGTCCTGACTAAATCGCGAGGAAGTCACAGGCGGGAGCACCGATCCTGAGTAAATTGTTCGGAAGTCTCAGGAGCGGGGGTCCTGAGTAAACTTGGAGGAACTCTCAGGCGGGAGCCGTTGTTGTTGTAATCTGGGGGGCCAGGGGCCCAGTTTGAGCACGAAGACTTTCCCTGTCAAAAAACAGGGTGCGAGCGTCGAGGGGCACACTTTGAATGGCACCGGTGAGGGGTGAGGGGAGATCCAAAAAATATTCAGACATGAGACTTCATCATCAACAACAACAACCACAACCACACAACCACAATTAACAATAACAACATCAACAACAACAACAACAACAACAATCGTTTAAGACTGGGGACACTCCGTTCTCACCAGTGCCAGGGTTTTCATAGGAGGCGGGCAATACCCCCACTTTGTGGGGGGGCCGGTTCAAGCTCTACCAAATTTCCAAACGACTCTTCGCCACCACCCACACCCAGCTTCCCGCCCTATGACGTTCGGACACTTCACTTCGTGGCATGCGGACGACCGTGGCTACTATTCAGGGCCCCGCGGCCGACGACGACGGCGTGCGCGCGCGAAGAAAAAACGAATGTGTCCAATATGGTATTATTTGACAGGGATGATGGCCCTGGCATGCGCGCAACCGTTGTTGCAGAAGTTCGAAGCACGTGAAAAAGTTGCTCGCAAGAGCCCGTTTGACAGAAATGTTGAAAAAATAGTGGGTTTCCTCCGAAATCCGCAAGAGCGCGCAAGATGAAGTTTTGAAACTTTTTTTTGAAAAACCATTGGGTTTTTCATGTTTTTATGTTAAAATCGCTACGAAAACTAAGGTTTTGGAAGGATTTCATCTTGCGCGCGCGAATGTGCACTTCGTGTCATTTTTTGCAAAGGATTCTTGAAGTTTGGAAATGTTAGAACAAGAAATTTCATTTTATAGTGTTTTTTGCAAGGGAAAGCGAATACAACAAAACAACCGGATCCTGTACACACCCTCTTTTCTGAGGCTTCCTCACGAAAATGATGAAAATGTAGCTGCGGCCTAGGCGGCGCAGGGGGGGCGCGCACCAGGGGGCCCAACAATAATTATTCTTTAGAATAAATAATGTTCAACAACAACAACAACAATTTAATTTTAAGACTGTTCGCCCTCATATGCTCGAGTGTCCAATAACGCGTATTTCCCAAACCCTCGATACCCGCCCTCTTCGTCTTCGATCGAGCCCCTTTTGGGGGGTAGACCTTTCTTCCCTGCAGGCCGGGCCCCGGCAAGCGGCGGGGCGGCCGCGGACCGTCGACCCGACCCCAAGAGGGACGGACAGGGGACCGACCACGACGACGACGACGACGACGACGACGACGACGACGACGTCGAAGACGACGGCGCGACGACGACGACGACGGCGACGAGCGAAAGCGAGAGCGAGAGAGAACGACAGCAGGGCCACGAAGGGCACGAAGTAGGCCACGAAGGGCGACAGCGGGGACACGAAGGGAATGCGTATGGGGCCACGAAGAGCGCGAACGAGCGGGGGCCACGAAGTGCAGATAATGCGGGGCCACAGAAAGCAACTATGGGCCACGTAGGACAGTGAGGGGGACACAAATGGCGACAGCGGGGCCACGAAGGGCATGCACATGGGGCCACAACGGGCGCGATTCCTGAGTGCCTTGGTGTCGGGAGCGCGGCGCTTGGGCAAATTACAATAAATTCCAACGCAAGGCCATTCTTCAGTAAGTTGCAAGCAAGTCTCCAGCGAGAGCGCCACTCCAGAGCGCCGGGAGAGCGATTCCTGACTAAATTGTAAGGAAGTCCCAAGCGAGAGCGCGATTCCTGAATAAAATGCGAGGAAGTCTTGGGCGGGAGCGGGGGTCCTGGCTGAATTGCAAGGAAGTCTGAGGCGGGAGCCGTTGTTGTTGTAACCCAGGGGCCAGGGGCTCAGTTTGAGCAGGAAGACTTTCCCTGTCAAAAAACAGGGTGCGAGCGTCGAGGGGCACACTTTGATTGAGAACAAACAGTATGCACCGGTGGGGGATCAACAATAATTATTCTTCAGAAATTGAGAGATCAACAACAACAACAACAACAACAACAACAACAACTACTACTACTACTACTACTACTACTACTACTACTACTACTACAACAACAACAACAACAACAACAACAACAACAACAACAACAACAACAACAACAACAACAACAACAACAACAACAACAACAACAACAACAACAACAACAACAACAACAACAACAACAACAACAACAACAACAACAACAACAACAACAACAACAACAACAACAACAACAACAACAATTACTAGCACGTGGGGACACTCCGTTCTCACCAGTGCCAGGGTTTTCATAGGAGGCGGGCAATACCCCCACTTTGTGGGGGGGCCGGTTCAAGCTCTACCAAATTTCCAAACGACTCTTCGCCACCACCCACACCCAGCTTCCCGCCCTATGACGTTCGGACACTTCACTTCGTGGCATGCGGACGACCGTGGCTACTATTCAGGGCCCCGCGGCCGACGACGACGGCGTGCGCGCGCGAAGAAAAAACGAATGTGTCCCGCATGGTATTATTTGACAGGGATGATGGCCCTGGCAGGTGCGCAACCGTTGTTGCAGAAGTTCGAAAAAGTTGCTCGCAAAAGCCCGTTTGACAGAAATGTTTAAAAAGTGTTGGGTTTCCTACGAATCCGCAAGAGCGCGCGGGATGAAATTTTGACAATTTTTTTTGTTTAAAACCATTGGTTTTTTGATGTTTGTATGTTAAAATCGCTACGAAAACTAAGGTTTTGGAAGGATTTCGTCTTGCGCGCGCGAATGTCCACTTTACCTTATTTTTGCAAGGGATTCTTGAAGTTTGGTTATGTTAGAACAAGAAATGTCATTTTATATTGTCGTTTGCAAGGGAAAGCGGGGGGGAACAAAACAACCGGATCTGGATCACATCGTTTTGTCAAGGGCTTTCGCTCGAAAATGATGAAAATGTGGCTGCGGCCTAGGCGCGGCGGGGGGGCCGTGCACCAGGGGTCCCAACAATAATTGTTCTTTAGAAGTAATAATGTTCAACAACAACAACCACAACAACAACAACAACCACAACAACCAACCAACCAACCAACCAACCAACCAACCAACCAACCAACCAACAACCAACAACAACAGCCAACAACAACAACGACGACAACAAGAACAACCACAACCACAATCACAACAACAACCACCAACAACAACAGCATCAACAACAACAACAGCAGCAGCAGCGGCAGCAACAACAACAGCAACAACACAACAACAGCAACAACAACAAGAGCAACAGCATCAACAACAACAACATGATCAACAACAACAACAGTAACAGCAACAACAACCTTAACATTAACAACAACAACTACAACAACAACGACAACAACAACAACAACTACGACAACAACACCAACACCAACACCAACACCAACACCACAACAACAACTATAACAACAACGATAACGGCATCGATAACGACAACGATAATAATAACAACAACGACAACGACAACGACAACGACAACAACTGCAACAGCAACAGCAACAGCAAGAACAGCAACAGCAACGGCAACAGCAACAACAGCAAACGTCGGAGATCTGGGGTTGCAGGAGAGCCCTGAATCGAACCGAGAAGCCGGATCGCCGATCAATCTGAATCGGATCGGCGGACATCGGCAGCCCCATCGGGAGAAGTCGAATCGGCGGAAATCGGCAGTTCAGTGAGGCCTTCATTGAGGGACCCAAATCCGAATCGGACTCCGAAGCCTCGAAATCGAATCGAATCGAGTTAGAGGAATCGAAGTGAGTCCATTTGGACGCCCGAACTGAATACGAAAAAATGGGTATGATGCCCAACAGCAGTTGTTGCCCAACACCGACGGCGGCCGCTATTGGGCAGGCGGCCTTCCGTCTCGATTGGACAGCGTCCGCGGCGACACCGACAGGGAGTCCTGCTCAAAACGAACAGGACATGCGGCCGGTCTTCGTGCCCAGTTGCTTCGTACCCGCTTCTCGGGTCGGGCGAAGGGGGGGGATAGCAAAGGGGGGGGGGGGGGGGAAAACCAGCTTACGTAGCTGACTTTCCCGGCGCCTCCCTGCGCTGGAGGCGGCCATGTATCGTGGAATGGGCACCTCGGCGAGGCCGAGACCAGCTGCATGCAGCAAACTTCGTAACCCCCCCTTTCCCCATCCCCCCCTTTCGTCCAACCCGAGCTTCCTTCTCGGGAGCGACCAAGAGGGGGGCGTCCAAGAGGGGGGGGGTGCAAAGCATGACCGGCGGCACGTGCGCGGCCCTGCGGGGGGGCCAGGGACGTAATGGAATAAGAAGAGGGGCCATGAAAATCTGGGGAAACACCATGGCCCCCGCCATGATATCCACCCCCCCCCTAGCCATCACCCCCCTTCTCTGCCGCCCCCGACCTCCGTGCCGAGCTTCCCCGGGACGCGCGCGCTGCAGCGGGCGGGCCGGGCGCTCCTTCGGGGACGCCGGGAGCTCGCCCAGCCCCGCGCCCGCCTCGGCGGCGGCCGCCGGGGCTCCCCTGGCCGGCGGGGCCTCGGCGCCCGCCCCGCGGGGGCTGCACCTGCGCCGGGCCTCGGGGGGCGGGAGGGGTCGGAGCACGGACGTGTCCCCCTACAGGCGGAGTTTCGACGAAAGTAGGAGATACCCCAGAAATAAGCCAAAATGGTCAAGAAATACCCCAAAATATTCCTCCTGTAGAGGGAGGGGTCGGAGCATGGACCGGGGAGCATGCCTTCCAGCGCCCATGTGTGCACATATACTCGGCAGTGCCCGCAGATGGCCCCGAATGGTATCCCGACGTCGCATGTCCATCGTCGGCAGGACGGGCAGGATGCACATGGCCGAACAAGCCACGCGCGCGCGGGGGCGCACAAAGCTGGAGCTTCCGTCCTGGAGCATGGACGAGCGCGTTCCACTAGTTTTGAGTCGGGCGTGTCCCCCTACAGGCGGAGTTTCGACGGAAAGTAGACGATACCCCAGAAATAAATAAGCCAAAATGGTCAAGAAATACCCCAAAAAAATAGTCCCCGGACTATTTTCATTCTATTTTTGAATATTCCTCCTGTAGAGGGAGGGGTCGGAGCATGGACTGGGGAGCTAAATGTCAACACCCACCATGCCCTGCAGCGCCCATCTATGCATGCATTCGGCAGAGCCAGGACGTCCAAGACGTCCCCTGCGACCCCCCGAAGTCGGCACATTTGGGCCCCGGGGCAAAGTTCGCGTCACGAGTAATCAAAATATATTGGCATCTGTATTGCGGGGATGGACGAGCGCGCTCCACTAGTCTTAAGTCGGACGTGTCCCACTACAGGGGAATCACGCAAAATGGTCGAAAAGTACCCCAAAAATAGTCCCCAGACTATTTTTTCACTATATTTGAAGATTCCTCCTGTAGAGGGACGGGCCCGACTTAACACTAGTTACCCGCAGAGTGCGAGCGAGCGAGCGAGCGCGCGGTTCCGCTGGGAGCGGGGCCCTTCAGGGCCTGCGCTGGGGGGCCCGGGCCCTCCGTGCCTGCAGTCCTTGTTTGCCGAGGTCGGGGTGCTGAGTTATGAGCTGGTGGGCGCTGGAGGTCAAGTGGTGCAGGGGGAAGTGGGGAGTCGGAAGCGGGATGCTGGAGTCGGAGTGCTGGGTGGTCGGCAGGTGGAGGTGGAGGTGGAAAGTCGGATGCTTGAGGGTGGAGGTCGGAGTGCTGAGCTGCTGGACGCTGGAGGTTGATGGGTGGAGGTGGGTACTCGCAAAGCGACTACTCGCAAGTGGCCTGGATCCTCCGCAGAGGATCTACAATAACTTAATTGCACAAAGTCTGATGCATGGTTTTTCGGGCGTTTGCGAGTAGGCACTGTGCGAGCAGTGGAACGCGCCCGGCGAGAGCAGGGCGGCTTGAGCCACTGGAAGATCGGGTCTGCGCAGTCCTCCCCGCTCCTGCGCGGCGAAGCTCGCCCAGCTTGGCAGCCGATCTCCCGCGCACAGAGACCGATCGGCACAGGCTGCGAGTCGAGCAGAGCCGGCAGGCGCGACGAGAACCGAAGTACTGCCAGCCCTACTAGCCCCTGCTCATCTGGCCTGGGCCTCCTGCATCGGTCCTGCCGGCCCATCCCGAACCATGCTTCGGAGAGCAGGGCGAGGTGAGACAAGGGCAGCTCAAGACTGTCCCAAGAGGTTGCAGCCGTGGCGACGAGGGGGCCCCACGACGGCCGTCTACCAGTCTCTCAGGCGGCCCTCCTCGGAAGGTGCAGGAGGGCGAGGAGGTCGAGGCTGGAGCGCTAGCGCGCCTGGGATCCTGGCAGCGCACTTCTGCCCGCACCGGTCGTACTCGCCCGGCTGCGGGCCTCTGGGCCCTCCCCGATCGATCCGGATCGAAAAGTGGCGCAACAGAGTGGGGTCCGGGGCTCGCGCCGCGATCCTGCACGATGCGTCAATGTTTCGCGCCGTCGGATCTCGGGGGCGCGTGCACGGACACGAGCGAGGGAGAAAAAGCAGGAGGCGAGAGGGAGGCGGCGAGGAGCGCGTGACGGCATCGCGACTGCGCGGCGCTCGGCAGGTGAGAGCATGCGCGGAGGAGGCCGGGCCACCCGCCTCCGAAGATCCGGCGGGCGAGGAGGCGGGGCAGACTCCGAGGAAGGCCACGGCGTCCGCAAGAGCACACACCTACGCCTGCAACATGGAACTACATCCAGAGCGTGAAGATGCGGTCGGAGCGTGAGGGCATGGCACCGTAGAACACGAGCACGAACACGAACACGCCCGCATGTGGGCACCGTCTGGGGGTGCTGCGGGTGCGGCGCCAGAGCGCCGGTGCACTAGGAGAACTGAAAGAAAGAGGCCCGATCAGAAGTCCAGCTCGATCTCGTTCCAAAGTCGGTTTGCAGCACATTAGCGTAATTGACTCATTCGCGCAGGTTGTTCAGACAAACAAAACTGCATTGCCAGAAGTGCTGCTGGCGGAAGCTCATATGTTAAGCAGCTTCCTCTGCAAACCTGCGAAAAAAATCGTTTCGCACTTGCCCAAGTTCTAGTCAAGTATGCAACCGTCTCCTCTGGAGGACTATGTGACCATGTGGGCGGTCGTTGTCAATCAAAACCAAATGCGATCGTGAAAGTCGCTGTCGCACGCATGTGTGCTACGGGAGCACTGATCCCTCATAGTTAGCATCGCCTCAACGTGACACTGGGCATGAAGAAAACGCCTCGGTGTGTTTCGCGGTTGTGTGCAGCTCATGTCCTGGCACCCGAATTAACGAAACGGCTGTTGCGTCCGTCCTCGACAGCACCGCCGAGACATCCATGCAAGCTCTGTGGCACTGTCCCTGCATCTCTATTTGGGCTCGGTTGCTGCGAGCTGGTCCCCAACGCTGTGAACGCGTCGCGAGCATCCAAAACGAGCGTGCCTGTGTACGTGCGCGCGTGCGTCGATGTACGTCAGGTCATAGCTTTGGGTTGAGGTCTGCCACGGGAAGGAAACTGTCACGGCGGGCCCTCACAGGGAGGACACTCCTCGCCATCACGCCATCTGAAGAAGCTGATCCCTCCGAACGAGAGAAAGACAGCCGAAAGGGTCGCACCGCGCCTTCTGTGGCGCCCCAACCTTATCACTGGAGTGGCGCCGCCGCTTCAAGCTGCCTCCCCTGCCCATATCCTCTCCAGCCAGCCGCCGACATAGCTGCGGCATTCCAAAGCATCGCCTTCTTTCACTGAACGCAGGAAATGAAGCATGGGGTGAGAGCGTATGTGGGAAGATGGCGGCGCAAAGCAGTACAAGAAGACAGGCACGGATGGTGAAATACCGTCGCTCCTCGCAAAATGTGTCCCAAAAACTCTTGTAATATGCCAATTACGAATACCATCGCCGTGAGCCCGACGCCTCACTCAACCTCATCGACCTTGCGCAAGCGGCAAGCGACTTCAAACGCAAGTGACAGGAACGGAACAACAACGAAAGCGGCTGGCCGACCCATTTTGGCAAATCAAGCCTGAGACAATACTCCTCACCCGCCGTCTCCCCAGATGGGTGGGTGATATGGGCCAAGAGCCTCAAGAGGTCGCCAGAACAGCATCAGAGATCGCCAAGAAAGTACAATGAGCGTTTGGAGACCCAAAATAGCACACGATAGGGCGCCACTGACGCCCAAAAACGGCCCAGGAGAAACCCCGCACGGCCAAAATGATCGAACAATCGTTGTTCTCCATGTTCTGCCGCGGTGGCCTCGGGAGCGCTCAGGCAGTCCGCATGACGCCCCCGGGATGGCCCGAGAACGTCCTGAGGAGACCCCAACACGGCCCAAAGGGAGAGCCTAGGCCCAAGAAGCTGCCATGGCAGCACCCAACGGCAGCCACGAGAGGACGTCAGCCAAGGAGGGCCCCAAGAGGCTCCCAAGACGACAGAAAGCTCCAAGAGAGCCCCTCCCCCCTATTCATTCCTCTCCTGTGAGGGCAGCATAGGCCACTCCCACCTCAGCCACGACTCTCACTCCCGACCTGGTGATGGCTCCTGGCTAGGGGCGGACGTGGTTTTGGGGGGTTCTGGGAGTGGGCTGAAAACCACCCTCACCCCCAGCAAGGGCCCCCTGGATCATCAGGTCGGGAGCGGGGGGCCTGTCTGGGGGTGGTGGTGGGTTGTGCTGTCCTTATCCTCTCCTTCCTCCTCCTCTTCCACTTCCTCCTCCTCCTCCTCAACATCATCATCATCATCATCATCATCATCATCATCATCAGCAGCAGCAGCAGCATCATCATCATCATCATCATCATCATCACCAGTATCCCCACCAACACCATCACCATCACCATCACCATCACCACCACCACCACCACCATCATCATCATCATCATCAGCAGCAGCATCATCATCATCATCATCATCTTCATCTTCATCTTCATCTTCATCTTCATCATCATCATCATCATCCTCATCATCATCATCATCAGCAGCATCAGCATCATCATCCTCATCATCCTCGGCAGCATCATACTCATCATCATCATCAGCACCACCATCATCATCATCAGCAGCATCATCATCATCATCATCATCATCATCATCATCATCATGCGCATCATCAGCATCATCATCAACAACATCATCAGCTGCATAATCGTTATCATCGACGGCATCATCATCATCATGAACATCATCATCATCATCATCACCATCATCATCATAATGAGCATCGGCATCATCAGCAGCATCAGCATCAACATCATCATCAGCATCATCAGCATCATCCTTGGTATCAGCATCATCACCATCATCGTCATAATCATCATCAGCGTCATCATCATCGTCATACTCATCAGCGGCAGCATCATCAGCATCAGTGTCATCAGCATCCGAATCATCAGAATGGCAATGATACTGATCATGCTAATAATGATAATTATGATAATAATGATAATAATGATACTAATAATAATGATGTTGATAACACACATCATCCGCATCAGCATCATCATCATCAGCAGCATCATCATCATCAGCATCATCATCATCGTCAGCATCATCAGCAGCAGAAGTATCAGCATCATCACCATCATCATCATCATCATCATCCTCATCATCATCATCATCACGTCGTCATCGGCATCATCATCATCCTCATCGTCATCATCATCATCATCGTCGTCATCATTATCATGATCATCATCATCATCACAATCATCATCATTATCGTCATCAGGGTCATTATCATCATCATCATCATCATCATCATCATCATCATCATCATCATCGTCATCATCATCATCATCATCATCGTCATCAGCATCATCATCATCAACATCGTCATCATCATCGTCCCCATCATCAGCAGCAGCATCACAACCATCGTCATCATCGTAAGCATCAGCATCATCTTCAGCATCATCATCATCACCAGCAGCATCATCATCAGCAGCAGCATCCTCATAATGAGAATCAGCATCATCATCATCAGAATCACCATCATGACTGGCAACAACACAATAATCATCAGCATCCTCATCATCATCAGCTCCAACATCATCGAAACATACGCATCAGCATCAGCATCATCATGATCAACATCATCGTCTTCCTCATAATCATATTCATCATCAGCAGCATCAGCATCGTCATGACATCATCATCATCATTATCATCATCATCCGCATCATCATCATTATCATGATCATCGGTATCATCAGTATCAGCATCACCAGCATCATCAGCGTCACTTCATCAACATCATCATCATCGTCGTCACCATCAGCAGCATCACGATCAACATCATCCGCCTCATAATCCTCATCGCCATCACCACCACCACCAACATCATTAGAGTCAGCATCAGCATCGGCATCAGCAGCACGATCATCATCATTATCACAATCATCATCATCATCATCATCAGCAGCAGCATCATCATCATCCCCTTCAACATGGCCGTAAATATCACCATCGCCATCCTCATGGCCACTACTACCACCATCACAATCATCCAAGTCCCTGCCATCATCGTCCTCATTGAATCATGTACGACTTTCTACTATTTCGTCAACCAACGCATATGGGCGGCGGATGTGGCTTCCGCCCAATGAACCGAGGACGTTATCCGTGCGGTGTTCCCCTGACGTGGTTCGACCTGCTGTGCCTCGCCCCGCCGTGCTGAACCTCAACTTAGTACCTTACCGACATTCACTTTACACAATCAACGGCACTTCTGGAAAGAATGCGTGAATGTACTTTCCCCACGATCCACCTGTCAGCACGGAAACGGCCGGGGTCCAAACGCACCAGATTTCCGAGCTGCATCCAGCCGTGGGGACGAGGGGGTCCCACGACGGCCAACTACGGCAGGTCCCCAGCGTTGGTTCCTGACACCGCGGGGATACTGCAGACTTGAACGATCGGTCGTTTCAGAAACGCCGGATCGTTCAACGACGGGCCGATTCTGGGCCACGGGCGGCGTTCAACCTTGAACGCCCGCGGCGGGGTCCGCCGTCAGTCGACACGACGCGAATCTTCCGCACCGCTGTCTCGACTGGCCCACCTCTCTGAATGCTGGGCTTCGGGCTGCTCGCCTTGCCGCCGCCGACGCCCCCTCGCAGCCACCCCCTGGCCTTTGTCACCGCTAATGTCCGCCAGGGCGTCCGCCCAGGTGCCCGCGCTGGCGGCCTCCATGCCCGCCTCGGCCGCACTAGCTTCGCCAGGACGCGCGCCCCTCTGCCTGAGCGCGCGAGGAGGAGGAGGAGGAGGAGGAGGAGGAGGAGGAGGAGGAGGAGGAGGAGGAGGAGGAAGGGAGGAGGGGAGGAGGAGGAGGAGGAGGAGGAGGAGGAGGAGGAGGAGGCGGCTAGGCTGCGGACAGGGGGCCGCAGGCGAGAGGAGAGAGCGCCGGGCCCGGCACGCCCGCGAGCACCACTGGGTGGAGAAGCGCGGCCGTCGTCGTCGTCGTCGTCGTCGGCGGCGGCGGCGTCGGCGTCGAGGGCGGCGTCGTCGCACTGACCGCCTCCCTGCGCGTCCCCCCGGCCGCGGCCGCTCCCGTCCTCGCTGTACCTCCCGCAGTCCGTCTCTGCTCTCGTCCTCTCGGGGGCGCGCAAGCATGGATTAGCGATCCATGGATTTGGCGCGCGGTCGCCAAATCCATGGATCGGGGGAGGTGCCCTCCCCAAAATGAGGCCGGTGCCGCCTCGCTCGGCGGCGGAAACCCGCGATTCCCCGTGGAAACAGGACCCGTCGCCAATCCACGCCCCTTTGATCCATGTGTGCGATCGCCTGAGTCCTTGAGCATCGTTTGACCGATCCCCATCCCCGCTGGCGTGGCCTTGACCCCACCGGCCACCTTGCCCACCCAGGTGGGGATCCATGCCTGTTCCTCCAGGCTTCGCGGGGCCGATACCCACCTGGGAGGGTGGGCTGGTGGGGCCGAGATACCATGGCCCGGTAAGGATGGGTTTAGGTTTAGGTCGGGCATGTCCCCCTACAGGCAGGATTTTGGACGAAGAATCAAAAATACCCAACAAAAGATATTCAGCAATTGTCAACGCTACCCAAAGGATCGTCGCCCGACTCTTTCCTGACTGTTCTTGAATCTTCCCCCTGTCGAGGGACATGCCCTACTCAAGGTTAGGTTGGACGATGCTGAATCCTGCCCTCTTCCCGTCCCTCCCCTCTCCCCTCGCCGAGGCACCGCCGTGGCCACCAGCAGCCGTGCCGCGGTGGCCCGGGACGCCCGGCACCGGCACGGACGCGGCCCCCCATGGGCCCCTGCAGCACCCCGCCGCTGGGACGCGGAGAGCGCCAGCGAAGGCGCTGCCCAGGGCCAGGGGATCGCCAGTGCCCTGGCCGTGAGCCCAGGGCACACTCGCGGAGGGCTTCCCGACTCCTCTGCCGCCCCTCGGCGCGCACCGGAGCGCGACCTGCTCCAGGTTTGCCTGGGCGTCTCAGGATTTGCCTCGCCTCAAATTCTGGCTTGCCTCGGTTTGCCTGGCTTCTTCCCCACGCGTCGGTTGGAGAAAAGTCGTCGACGCCCTCGGGACTGAGCCTTGCCGGCAGCGGCCCCGATCCTGGGCCAGGGGCGGGCCTGGCCGGGGTGGGCGCGCGCGTGCTTTGCTGGCGCCACGCGAGCTCTCACGGGCGGGTCCCCAGCCAGCCCTGTGCCAGCATGGCCGCCGTAGGTGTATCTGCTAATTCGCCCCCAAATATAAACCTCCTAAAGACAAGCCACGAAATCCCCAGCATTGCTACGAATAGCCTTACATAGTTCTGCAGCATTGTAAGTCAACTCGCGACTAGTGTTCCACGATATGAAGTAAGGCGTGAATCACCGAGGCACATTGCCTTTCGTTTCTTACGGCGGTGGGTACGCCGTTCCTTCGTCATGCCCGTGCCGTCTAAACCGAATGCCGCATTGGTGTTGACCACGTTCCACCTCACATCGCCCGCGGAAGTGATCGTGCCCATGTCCACCTCCACCTCCCCCTTGACGCAATACTGAATCCAATAAAGATTGTCGATGTTGAAATACTCCGCGGTGAAAGTCGACGCTGAGGGTGCTGCCGAACCGCTAGCGCTACCAGCGTCGCCAAGAGTTATTGACCATCTCAACGACTTCATCGTACTTCCCCCGGAAGTCAGTCATCTCCCCTGTACGCCAATCGACTTTTCGCTCAAGAGAACCTGGTTGCTCTCTGACGGGTTCGAGCTGCTCACCGACTGCGGTCTCCACGGTCCCCTTAATCTAATTCGACACTTCCAGGTAAAACTTTTCCTCAGTCATAGTACCGATGGTTGCCATGATTCGAAAGCTGGGCGAGGGCTGCTAAAACCGTGGCTGCTAAAACGGCCCTCCCAGAAGGAAAAAACTACTTCCCGGAATGAGGCGCGGCACGCGAAACAATCAACGGGCTTCTTCCCCGAAGGACGAAGACAACTTCCCGGAGGTCGATTTTAGCAGCCACGGATTTAGCAGACCTTGCCCGGCATCCGAATGATAGCAAAGAGAAGCACAGACAGCAGTTGCAAGATCAACGATCAGTGCATGAGCGAATGAGTGTTCGGTTCCGGCCCTCCCTGCCTGGACGTGTCCCGTGACCCTTCCTTGACCCTCCCTTGACCCCGCCTCCGGCTCCTCCTCCTCCTCCTCCTCCTCCTCCTCCTCCTCCCCCTCCTCCTCCTCCCACTGCCCGCCCTTCCCAAGGCGGCGTTCCAGACCGCGGGGGGGCCGCAGGCCAAACCGCGGCGGCGGCGCGGGGCGCTGGCCGGGGCCTCCTCGGAGTACAGCTCCTCGCCAGAAGGAGAGGGGCGAGGAACGGTACGGTTGGAGCCGGCTGGGTGGCCCAGCACTGGCTCGGCGGGCAGGAAGGGCGGGCAGGTCCGAGGTACTGGGTTCGAGGAGGGACTCTGTATTCTTCGGGCTCTGGTGGTTGCTTTCGGACTCCAGGGCCGTCAGAAACGGATCCGTGGCGCAGAACTGCACCAGAGGAACCCCAGGAGGAGTCCAGCGGCCGATTTTGATTGAATTTGGCCTCATCCCCCCCACCCCTGGCGGATTTTCTGGCGCCCCAACCAGCTCAGGCTTCCATCCAACAGTACTAAAGGGAAATTAGGACACACAAATAAATACACACAAATAAAAATAGCCCCCATATTTTCCCGTATTTTCTGGGTTTCTGTCTTCCCCCCCACTTCCCATATTTTCCCATATTTTCTGGGAATCGCCGATTAATTGTGTCTGTGTGTTTTTTCCCCTCCTGAAGTACGGCAAGTTCGTACCGTGACGACAACGGCGCTCGTTCCTGGACACTGGACACTGGACACTCCCGCGCGTGGGCACCGTCAAGGGTGCCGCGCGCGTGGCGGGCGCCGGAGCGCCGCTCCGCGTGGCGGTCTTCACAGCATGGCAGATCTCAGCGGAGGAGAAAGAAAAGGACGAGGAGATGATCATGAAGGGAAACTGGGACACACAAATAAATACACACAAATAGAATGATTCCCCATATTTTCCCATATTTTCTGGGTTTTTGTCTTCCCCCCCACTTCCCATATTTTCCCATATTTTCTGGGAATCGCAAATTAATTGTGTCTGTGTGTTTTTTTCCCTCCTGAGATCAGCTATCCGCTTCGCCCGCTCAGTCGTGGTGTCGGACGAAGCCTGACAAAGCGTGAACCTTCCAACCTTGAACGATCGGCGGCTTTTCGCTCGCCAGCTCGTTTCATAGAGGCCGGTTCTGGGCCCATGGCGGCGTTCAACCGCGAACGCCCGTGCCGGGGTCGTCGCCGCGTCGACACGACGCGGGCCTACTGTACAGGACTGCACTTCGACGAGGGCATCGGCAGCACACGTGGCGGCGGCTCCCCCACACTCAGTCGGTCGGGTCTGCCTCGCGGCGCACGCTGGGTCGGAGCAGATCGCAAGATCCGAAGAGCACTGGCCCCGCGCTTGTGGAGCCGCCTTGCCCTCGTGCTTCCCCCTCCTTTCTGCTTTACGCCTGCTCTTTTCGAGGCCATCGTCCTCCGCCGCCGCATCCGCCACCCCCTGCTGGACGAGGAAGAGACTACTACTGCAGGCGCTGGGGGGTACCCAGCGCACGCCCATGCACCTCTCAAGTGGGTATCTCTGCGCTGCTGTGGACCAGAGAACTTCACCGAGGCCGGATGTGATTGAGCCACTGGTGAGATGCGAGTACAAGGGCACCATCCCATCGCGGGTAGGTCGCACAGGCCCAACAACGCAAGAAAGGCTGCTCGTTTGGCGGGTGTGCTCCGCAAGGATACGCAAGAAAGGCTGCTCGTTCGGCGGGTGTGCTCCGCAAGGACTTATAGTCAACATACCGGGATTACAACTTCACTAAGGGAGGAGCATCAGCACCAAACATTCGACGGCTAGATAGTTTCGAATCTCAGGCCCCAGACCCCTCGATGCTTTCTCTGGGACCAGCTCTTCGTCCTGAGCTGCTCTTTGATCCCAGGGACCGAAACCAGAATCCAGAGGCCGAAAATGAAGACGAACCTCAGACTCGAATTTATGAATATCTGGAGATCTGGGGCAGCAGCAAGAGAGTGAGCGGCACCTGGGGGGCACCAGTGGCTGGACTTCAGTCACGGCCAGGGCCACGAAACGAGTGAGGCGTGTGCCGACACGGGTGCGTTGCCGCCATGCGAACTTTTCTACTGGGGCCGTCGCTGGAGCTCATCATGGGACCTCGAAACGCGTGACGCGTTGGCCGACACGGGTGCGGTGCTCGAAACGCGTGAGGGTGTGCCGACATGCGTGCAGTCCCGCCATGCGAACTCTCCGACTGGGGTCCTTGGTGGAGCTACCTATGTGATGAGGCGCCGAAATGCGTGAGCGGTGTGCCGACATGGGGGCGATGCCGCCGTCCGACCTTCTCCACTGGGAACCTCGGTGGAACTCCCTATGCGGCCTCGAAATGCGTGAGTGGGGTGTCGAAATGAGCGCCGGGTCGCCATGTGAACTTTCCCACTGGGGCCTTCGGTGGACCTCCCCATGGGGCCACGAACCGTGCGAGTGGCGTGCCGAAATGGGCATGCGGAGAGCAAGAGGCAGGAGAGGAGCGATGGCGAGAGAGAAGGCAGCGGGGAGGGAGTGATGGACGCCACTCGCGTCTGGCCGCACGGGCTTGCAGAGCATGCTGGCACAGAAACTCGGGGACAGAACCGCCGCAGAAACGGCCCACCACTCTCGGGCCTGGCGAAAGGGGGGGATAGCAAAGGGGGGTGGTGAGAATCAGCTCACGTAGCTGATATTCCCGGAGCGTCCAGGCGCCGGGAGGCGCCCATGTATCGAGGAATGGGCCCAGCGGCAGGGCCGAAACCAGCTGCATGCAGCAGATTTCGCAACCCCCCATCTCCCTATCCCCCGCTGTCGTTCGGCCCGACACACAGACCTGAACCTTGCGAGCCCACGGTCCTTCGTCCAGAGGTCTTCTTGGCCGGCTCGTCCATGGCGCGGCCGGCGCAGTCCTCGCCGACCCCCTTCGCAGGAGTGCGAACGGACTATCCCCGCTCTGGCTCGCAAGAGAGCAGGAGCCAGAGAGGGACCGGGAATGGAGCACTGGTCCTCTTGCTGGCTGAGTAAGCCCATCTACGAGCTGCAGCATGCAGTCTCGCGCCAGGTTGGGAAGGGTATGCAGGGCATGGGAAGGACAAGCAAACAGTGCTGAACACGCCTGGCCGTTCGCCAGCATGGCAGCGCGTGGCGCACGGATTGAGCGGAAACGACGGGGCGAGCCTGGGAGAACCAGAAACAAGACGAGAGCGCGACGACTTCGCAAGCTGAAGATGGGCTGGAGGCGGAGGCGGAGAGGGGGCATTGATAGGGGTGGAGGAGGAGGAGGGCTAACGGATCTCTCGTACGCCGATGAACATGCCGACGTTGCACCGAAACTGCGAATCAGCAAGATCGCTTGAGATGCAGATTCATCCAATCGCCTGCCACCACCCCTCCCCCTCCTGGAAAACAGAATCCTGGCGCAGGACCCAACCATATGCAGTTGTGAGTAACGCCGTTATGAGTATCGCCTTCGGTGGATCTCTTATGGGGCCACGAAGCGCGTCAGTGGAATGCCGAAACGGGGCGGGCCGCCATGCGTGCACTACCGCTTGCCGTAGGTGGAGCTCCCCACCTACATGGCCACGAAACGTGTGAGGGGTGTGCCAAAACGGGCGGAACGCCCACGTGTGGACGGTGCCTGTGGGGCCATACGTGGAGTTCTCTATGGGGCCACGAAACGTGTGAGGGGTGCCGAAACGGGCGTGACGCCCACATGTGGACGGTGGCTCTGGGGCATTCGGTGGATCTTCTTATGGGGCTACGAAACGTGTGAGGAGTGCGCCGAAACAAGCGTGACGCCCATTATGTAGACGGTGCCTCTGGGGTATTCGGTGGATCTTCCTATGGGGCCGCAAAACGTGTGAGAGGTGTGCCGGAACAAGCGTAACGCCCACATGTGGACCGTGCCTCTGGGGCCATAGGTGGAGCTCCCTGTGGGGCCACGAAGAATTTGAGGAGTGTGCCGAAACGGGCGTGACGCCCACATGTGGACGGTGCCACCCGTAGGTGGAGCTCCGTATGAGGCCACGAAACGTGTGAAGAGTGTGTGTGTGTGTGCCAAACATGGGCACGTGGAGGACAGAGGCGGTGATGGGAAGGAGGGAGGGGAGGGACGAAGGGAAACGCTGGGCGGTGCGTATTCGAAACAAGGACCCAACACCACAGGATGGCTCGGAAAAAACGCAACGGCTCCACATGCACAAGCACAGTTTGACATTCAAGCATGTTGCACGGGCGCCGTGAATGAAGATCGGGCGGCACGCTTCCATGACGTATCCAAGCTGTTCAATAGAAGTTGTGCCATACTCGGACAACACTTTTCATGCACACGTGCACTGCGTACCAAACCTATAATACCTACCACCGTGCCCTTCGGTACATAGCGAAGTGGTACAAAGTGTGCCTCGCTAAGACAAATTGTATGCCACATCTCCACGCAACCGCCGACCTCCCCTCGCCCCAGGCTTCCGCGCAAAGACGGCAAGTCTTCACCGAACTGCACGCCTGCCAATGAGCCAAAGACTTTTGAACCAAATTGCAATTGCCAGCGCGCGCCTGTAAACACACCGATGATTCACTACAACGTACACCAGCAAAATACGCACAAGCCAATCGCAATAATGAGGCTGTGCGCGAAAGACTGCACCCGCCGTCACTCGAACAAATTGTCAATGGTCGAAAAAACAAGACAATGCAACTCAAGAAGGCGCATAATCGTTCGCATTTTTGTCGGCCATCATACGATACCAGCTCAACCACGTATTATGTTGATACTGCTGCTACACATGACCGTGTTGGTGTCATGACAGATGCTTCCCCAAAGGGCCTTTAGATAACCTCTAACCCCCACCATGTAATTGCAGACGACGGGTATGGAGAAGGAGAATCCGCCGCCGTGCCTGCACGGCAGTGGCAGGTTGGAACGCCTGCGCGCTGACTAGCAAGGCTTCTATACTCTTCGAAGGGCCATCCCTCCCTGTTGGCGTTTCTTTGCGACCATCGCCCCCCCCCCCCCGGTCCCCAAGGCCCCCGGGCGCCACGAAGCCCCGTTCACCGAGCCCTGGGCGCCCCGAAGCCTCCTCCCCCGAGTCTACCCGGAGAGCAGAAAATCCACCCCCATAATAATCACCCCGACAAGCGAAGCCATTTAGTAACTAAACGCATTCAAAGAAGGAATCGAACAGAACAGGGGTTGTTTACGAAACGCCGCGGGCCGTTCCATAAAACTCGATTGTCGGGTCTGGGTGGTTTTTCGTCCCTTGACTACGGGCCCGAGACGCACGGCTGCGGCGGGACTGCTAGAAGCAACTGGACAAGAACGACGACAACCGCCAGCCAGGTCGGAACGTCGAAAGAGTCTCCCGGCCCGCTGGGACCACGTGCAGACAGGCCCGCCGACCACCTCGGGACCACAGGGCATTACGAAAGTGCCCCCCCCCCCCCCCACCTGCTGTCTCCCCCAGCGTCGACGTTCCCGCCTGACCGACCAGCGCAATTTGTTTCGCGCTGCGCGCACTGATCAGCCAAAACTAATGTCGGCGGCGCGCAACAGGGGAAGGCCGAAGAGGCTGGCTATCGTAGTAGGCAGGGGGGCCTCGTAGGACCCCCCCGGCTTTCAGGGAAGAGTTCATACAGTGGAGGCCAGTCCACAAGAAGCCTTCCGCAAGAAACCCAACCCTGAGACACCAGGACGTGCATGCATGTTCGGTGTGGAACGTCACGATTTCCATCGCAAAATCATCTGAACCCAAGAAACCCAGGGCACCCTGGAGGCAAGCAAGGTGTTTCTTGGCATGGGCCTCCACTTTAAGCCTCCTCTGAAGCCAAGCTGGGCTTCTCAGAGGGCCAGAGGGCTTTTCAGAAGTCCAAGAAGGCTGGCCACATCAGCTTCCCCACAGCGCGCGCCGCCGATCCCAACAGGAGGTCGGCAAATGCGTTGCCAGCCTGATCATCGATCAGACTGGCAGAGCATCTGGTGGTCGCGTGGGAAACTGGAATCATTACATCGGTTTTGCTTGAAGCGGTCCGCGCAAAGCCAACGTTGTTGAAATGGGGATGCAACGCACTTGCGGCTATCGTAGATAACACCGCCATTTGAAGCATTGGCTCCGCACACCTTTTATACCGCACCCCTTTGCGACCTCCAGAACCCAATCACGATACGGCAGCTGCACTTGACGTCGAGCTCCGTGCCTCGCGCGCTGCTGGTCGCCCTCCTCCTACTCCCAGCCCCCGAACGGGCTTCCTGGAGCCACGAGGCCGCTTCCTCCTTCTCCTCCTCCTCCTCCTCCTCCTCCTCCTCCTCCTCCTCCTCCTTCTCCTCCTCTTCCTCCGTTTCCTCCTCGCCCTCCTCATCATAGCCCTTCTACTCCTCCTCCTCTTCCTCCTCCTCCTCCTCCTCCTCTTCCTCGTCCTCCTCCTCTTTCCCTCCTTTTCCTCCTCTTCCAGTCTTTTTCACTACAAATGACCTATCCCTATCGCACCCCGATGCCAGTTTTAGGGCGGCACGGCGTTTCGCCTGAAACTTCCTCACCACGTATGACTCTGATGCGTAATGGGTGACAACAACTTCACAGATGGAGGGCGGGTCGTCATCAAAGAGCTCTACAGCTCCCGAAAATATTGGAAACTCACTGACGCAACAAAGTGGACGACTCAAGTTGGACAACTGTTTCCATTATCTACAAAGTTACAAAATTATAGTGTTTAATATATAAGAGCAGAGAGAAAAAAAAAAAAAAAAAAAAAAAAAAAAAAAAAAAAAAAAAAAAAAAAAAAAAAAAAAAAAAAAAAAAAAAAAAAAAAAAAAAAAAAAAAACGTTCCCGCCATGGTCAGCTGCAATTGGTGATGTCCTGTCGAATGCTGTGCTTCCCAGCTGCGTAGCTGACCTACAGCTTGAGCTAAGAAAAGGAAACGAACAGAATCGCAAAAATTAAACTTGGCGCCAGCGGTAAGCCGTCAACTTTCGTTATTTGTTGTTTTCGCAAACATTGAAGGGTCCATGGAACCCTGTCTGGGCCCAGCGAGGCTAGTTGTCTAAGCTACGCAGCACCGCTGCAGCTGCTTCTACGAGGCACCTAGCGCAGAAAGCTCGGCCTCGCTTACTGTACTGCCAGGGGGAAAAGCGCGGGAAACGATGGCCACGTCTCCCCAAACGAGAGGGTCCCCAGGGTTGTGAGAAAAAGAGGAAAAGGAGGAGGAACGAGGCCTCTTACTCAAAGAAAGAACGAGATAAGAATCGAGAGGAAGGAACTCCGCCTCCAGCCAATATCAAATACCCGTTCCTGTCGCGTCCACTCCGCCGTCCTAGTGACCACGAAGGGACGAAAGTTCATAACGGTCTTTCAGATGTTGACACACAGGAAAGAAGGTGAATTGCCCCCGCCATTCCCGAGCATCATGTGAAAGTTGGTCCGCCATCGTGTTGCCTTCGTGTTGCCTTCTCTGTAAATGTGTTTACAGAAATCCTGCCCCCACAGTGGAGGACAAATACCACGTGTGGAATACAAACGGTCGAGAGTGATATTCACTCGATCGACACCAGACTCAAAATTTCTTGGCCGGTGGACCCGAAACAGACCGTGAGAACATCGCCTCAACCCCCTCCTTCATATCCTCACCTCCTCCTCCGTGGCTCTGGCCACGAACGATGAAATACTCAAAGGCCTTCTCATGCCCACGCAACCCCAAGTAGCGAGCCGAGAAGTCCAGATAGGAAGCATACGAAGGAAAAGTAAAGTAATAATAATAATGTATATATATGTGTCATAAAAATAAGAACAATATTTTGATAGTTTTAACCAAAATAAAGAACTTCCACCACTGAGTTCCGAAAACCGATTAGAGTGCAAACCACCGTGGATGGTATCATGCCGCCTTTCCTCCATGTCTCCTCCCACTAGCCCTGCG